TAAACAATTCGTCTTATTGAAGATAAGGGACGGCACCTAATTGGTTAATCATGTGTGAAATGACGAACAAGTTGCTGTGGTGAATATTTTTATGACTTACCTAAGTTCTGTATCAAACACAAAATGAAAAATATATGAATTAAAGATCACCAAGAAACTCTATAATAAGTTTCGAATTATTATCTCCTTTCTTCTGTTTGCCGTTTTAAAGCACTTTTCGTTGACTCTATATGTTGTCGTTGACTAAAAACTCGAAGCATGTATATATCATGGAACAAAACCTAAATATTATAGCTCTGTTCCTTTTATGCTCAGATACCGGATGTTCTACTTTTCCTTCAGGCTGAACACAACTGATGATGACTATGAAAAGGGTAATATAAGTCTATCCAAAAACATTCCAGAAAGCCTGGTCTCCTTGATTTCGACAATGATTGTCATGGATTGCCCTACTTCGATAACAGACATTATATCCAAGTATGAATTATATCAATCCCATAATATAACTCTAGCCAGTCCATCCAAGGTTGCACAAAACTCATAACACAACTAAACAGTTCGTCTAAGATTTACCAAACCCATATTATAACCCTAAACAATCCTTCCAAGGTTGTCTAAACATACAACATAACTAACAATCCCGTCTAAGATTATACCAAACCCATTTTGTAATTCTAAACAGTCCGTTTAAGGTTATATAAAAACCCATAATACAACTAAACAATTCGTCTAAGATTATACCAAGCCCGTAACATAACCCTAAGCAGTCCGTCCAATATTGTAACTCTAAACAGTTCGTATAATATTATACCAAACCAATAACATAACTAAACAGTCCGTCCAAGATTATACCAAACCTATAACTTTAAACTGTCTGTCTAAGAGCGTATCAAACTCAAAACATAACTATGTTTAAAACCTTACCAAATCTATATTATAACTCCAAACCGATCAAACACATAACTTCATAAATCCAAAAAACAGCAAATAAAAACAAACAAACACACACACACACAAACAGCGTGTCTTCGAATTAAAACAATGAGGGAAAATATAGAGATTCTTTAACTTCGGATATAGTGTGGGTTTTATAGTTTCCTTATTTTATTTATTTTTGAATTTCGCGCAAAGCTACACGAGGGCTATCTGCGCTAGCCGTCCCTAATTTAGCAGTGTAAGACTAGAGGGAAGGCAGCTAGTCATCACCACCC